AAAGAAACAAAAAAGAAATCGCCAAACCCTGAAATTGAGCTGTAAATGTTCTCTTGCCATGGGACTCTTGATCTTTGTTCTTGAGTGAAGTGAACACATGCAAGGATCTCTGACATTTGTGCCCCCACACCTTATGCCCTAGAAAGGGGGGGAGAAAAGCCAAAAAACCAAACACTCTTTGCATGAATCTTTGTGGTGATTCAAAATACTTCGGGTAGATCCTGTCATATGGTTTATAAGTTCCTGACTGATTGTGTGGAATTAAGTTATTGGTCAGAGAACCAGCTAATGGAAACACATTGATGAAATTATTTTTGAGAGACATTAAATGAAACTTAAAATAAAGCTGAAATGGCTTTATGGATTTTTCAGTCAAACTGTTTATGAACATTTATCGGTGGTAAATTACACAGTGTCAGAAGAGGGAATCAGTAGGTATGGCTTTAATAGAAGTCGTTCTGATATAACACTGTGAGAAAGAATAATTTATTGCTTAGGGATGTACAGTACAGTATGTTTAAATACTAATGATATTATTGTTTTAGTCTATCTTTGGCTGTTTGCAGACAAGTTACCCATAGCAACAGCAGAGAGTCTCATATGATGAGAAAATATTTTCAGTATTTGCAATGAAATAGAAATTTTCTGTTAGGCATTTTTCATGGTAGATAGAAAATGTTTTAATAACAGATAATTCAGGAAGCAGAAGCTGTGTTGTACAATAATAAATGCAATTTACATTTGCTTTGTACTCAGTAGAAGTGAAAGAAGGATGTAGTACTTTGATTGAAAAGGGAGATTGTAGCAGCTGATTCCTGAACTGTTGGACCTGTGCATTAATACTGTTTGCCAAAACCCATCATTCCTCAGGTAGAGGACAGTGAAAATAAAACTAGAGGAGTGCAAGACTAGAAGGCAATTGCTGGTCCTGCAAATATTATCCCTTAGTTTTGAGACACCACATCTTACAGTCAGGAATTTGTCAAATCTGTTGGATTGTCTGTCCCATCTAACTGAAAAGCTGCTGCTATTTTGCTCCTCTTGGCTATAAACAGTTTTCTTCCAAAATGTATTTGGGACCAGTTTATTGCCACTTGCTCTCATATCAACATTGGCCTAGAGCCAGCAGTTCTTTTTCCTTCATGTTATTTATCTTCCTAATGTATTAATACACAGCATGAGTATCCTTCCCTAGCCATCATGCTGCTAAGCTAAAAAGGCAAGTCCTTCCAGGCTTCTTTTGTAGGATAGACTTTTCCTGTTAGTGCAGTCATAACAGTATTTCCTCTCTGTACACTCCTCTCCTGGAAGGCCACAAGGACCCCCAGTTCAAGGACTCACTGATGATTCTGAAAATAATGTGATTTTCTTGTCCTGTTCGCATTAGACTTTCCTCACACCTTTCAATTTAATGCCACGTTTGCCTTCCCTTTGGCTCTGTCCCACTGTCATGAATCATGAGTAGCATTTAGCTTTCATCCAGGCATATTCCCATCCTGGAAGCATGTAGAAGAAATTTTTACTACTTCTAAGCACATAACCTTGCACTTCATATTTTCAGTCATTTGTTTCTCCGTGACATTTCAGTTCTCCTCAGCAGAGACAGAATAGCCCAATTCAGTGTCAACAGCGTATTTCCCTCAAACTTCCCTTCTTTTTTCTGCCAAAGCCTTTAGTAACAGTTGGACTCAACGATCTTAAAGGTCTTTTCCAACATAAATGACTCTATGATTCTAAAAACTGCTGAATGAGGTCACTTCCTCCAGCCTTCTCTTTCAACTCCATCCAGCAGTGATGTTATCACAGCCTGGCTGGGACTTCCAAAAGCAGCCAAAAGCCAGACTTTGACACAAGTGTCCAGTGGAATTGAATTAGTCCAAGGCAGTTGTTTCCCTCGGGAGCTGCCGATCCCCAAGGCAAAGACCAAGACACTCCAGCAGGGAAGAGGGGGGGAGGCTGGTGGGAGGGGGCACTTTTGAAGTCTGCAGTAGAAATTTCCAGTAGCACAAAAAGAAGAGGATGGTTCTTTACTGAAGTCATCAGGCAGCAGGTTGAAACCAAAGAACTTCTCTGGAGTATGTAATTCATCTATCAGCCCCCTGCTACAGAAATGAGGATGCTTAAAATGAGAATTAGGGGAGGTGAGGAGAGTTTATCAGTGTCTCTGAAGTGGACGGATGACACAGCCAACTCAAGGAGTCCCTCAGCTGCTGACAGCCAGAGTCAGGGGAGGGATGTCTCAGTCCTAGTCCCTCAGCATCCCCTCATGGCTGATGTCCTACTCTATGACAGAGACAGGTGGCCCTTTGGGAGAGTCTGTGTTCTTAAAGGAGAATAATAAGAAATTATATTGTCAGGGCAGGAAGCCTGTATCAAGGCAGGTTTACTTCTAATTCCGATCAAAGCAGAGAAACAGAAGGGTTTGGAACTCTCATTCCTTTTCCCAGTGCATAAGGGACTCTTTCATGGATCTGGGAATAAAAGAGACAGGAAAAGGGGGTTTAAGAATTGTGTAGAAAAAGGAAAACAAGCACATGGGGGAAAGGAATAGCCAGTTCTTTTATTTTCAGCCTTGCTGAAATGACTGCATTGAAGTTCCACTAACGTTGTTTCCAAAGTTGCTTTCTGCATTTAAACTAAATAATGAAAGCCTGGAAAACCCCAAGTTTAGAAATAAACTTAAGGTTCTCCTTATTCAGCAGGCATTTCTGGTTATGTACAGTTCATTATTTGGGGCTTTGCATGACTTAAGTAGCTGACTTAAGGTGCGTAAAAATGAATTAAAACTCCCAGGATAAAGTCACCATATAGGTGGAAAGGGTACAAGGATATCTATGTGCATCTCTCCAGCTGCACCTCCTCATCTTCCTTCCCTCAAAAATCACTGGATTTTTATGCAGAAAAGTGCAGGTTGCATCTTTTGCTACGTTTCATTGCAAAGCCAAGAGCCAAGTCGATCGTGTGGATAAGCAGAGACTTAAATCATTTGGAAACTGTTGAGTGAGGACAGATCTGATAGTAATAACCTTCATGGCTGGCAAGTTACAGCTGTTTGTGACAACTTGTAACGATGAAGGCTTATAGTAAAGTTAAGAGCTAAATACCTTTATTGTGCCACAGGATCAACTTTGATCTCCAAGTATAAAGATTCAAACTTTTATCATCTTTGAGTTTACTTTGTTTTTCTCTAGGTTGACACGAGTTGGAGTTCTTTAATAAATGTTAGAGTGCTTGTTTTCATTCTGTTTGTTTTTTTTTTTTAACCCAGTGAGATAGCTTATTTAATTTATTTCAGTGCAAAGAAAGTGTAGTCTTATTGAAGCCATAGGTGTTTCTCACTTACAGCAGAAGTTACAGCAGGATGTTTTCTTAACATGTTTTGCATAGTCTGAGAACATTTGTTGTTCTGTAGTGGTGACTTCCAGACTGCACATAGATAACCGTTGTAGTAGCACGTTACAAGATGCCTCAAATTGTATATGTAGAAGTTCTCATCAGGATCTGTAGTTTGCATAAATAGCTTTATCAAGTAAAAAAAAAAAAAAATTAAAGAAATGCCACTGGTTCTGTCTGCATGCTGACACTGAGACTGCTGTGGTGACTGTAGGTGACGACTGACTGATTGTTCACGATGAATCTGAAGACAAGAGCGCAGGTTTAAATTTAAGAAGACAGGTCATACTTGCTCACTAGGCTGACAGCTATATATTGGAGAACATGAACATTAATTTCTGGCACACTCTGTGTGTAAAGCAGTTAGTACCATTCTTAGCTGTGTTTTAGCTGGAAGTTTCAGTGGGAGCGGGAACGTGATGTTCTGCAGCACAGAGTGCTGGTGACAGCACTTGGGGACCCCTGTGTTCCAACAGAGTATTTTAAAAGTGGAACAGCTTCAGAAAAGAACAATGAGAATTCCAGAGAATTTGCTTCACAGTAACTGATTCATAAAGCCCAAACTTTTCAGAGAACCAGAGCAGGTTGGGGTGGTTGGGTCACCAGCAGCATCTGCCTACAGAGGGTGGAGACTCTGCTCATATGGGGTCAATTGGTTGGCACACACAAGAAGATTCAGTGGCTGAAAGATGAAGTGAGACCAATTCAGATTAGATGCACATTTTAAATGAGAACAGTTAGGGGAAAGGCTTAGGAGAGTATGGCAGGGGCTGCCTTTGACTTGAGACAATGATATGAGAGAGCACGTCTTTCTAGAGAAGACAGCTTGATCACAAAATAGAGACCCAGTTTAGGGATGACTGGGTGAAATGGCCCAACTGGGCTATGCAGGTGGCCTTGCAGAGGATTGTGGTGGCCTGAAACTTAGGCAAGCTGTTCCCAGTAGCCAGCAGTTTACAGCTCATTATCTGAAGCCAGTCAGCTCATGGGGAGAGTGCTGCTTCCCCACCATCTCTGAGAGAAGAGGGAAATGAGCAGAAGTTAAATGACTTCTGGGTCACACATTAAATTGGTGGCCAGGCTGGGACTGGAGCAGAGTCTGCTTGTGCTGCAGTGCATCAGGTGGACACATCCTTCCTTTTCCCCAGGCAGGATCACAGCCCAACCCGAGAGGCATCTACAGTGATAGAGCCAAAATTTTCTTTTCTCCTTTGAGTATCTCTAAGAGCCCAGCAAAAGAAGTAATGTTGTGACATGCATCCAGGTTCATTAATGAGAGATGTAGCTGGATTAGATGCCTGGTCACCAAAGAGTATCTTTTCCAAGCTCCCTGCATCACTTGGGTCAGCAAACTTTTCCCACAGTCGGGGTGCAAGCAGCTGCTTCTCCAGCCAGAAGTGCAGCTTACAGGCAAATCCCAGTTGTAATCAAGGCAACCAACTGCAGATAATCAAGGTCTGGATTTTCTGGGGACAGAAGGGATGTACAAGAGAGAAATGGGGTCAGGTAATGGGTTAAATTGCACCTAGGTATGATTTGACAATCACTCCCCTGATAACAGCTTATGATGTTTACAATTTGTCTTCTGTTTTGTTTTGTGATTTCAGGAGCAGAAGGCACAGTGTTCCCTAAATCTATAGAAACTCCCAATGTCAGGGCAGACCCCTTCAAGGAACTAAGGTAAACTTTGGAATATGGTTTAATGGTAACTCAGTGGAGCCTTGTTGGAGTTGTGCATTTTGCTGGGCATCATTTCTGCTTTTGCATAAGTGCTTGGGGATTCACTTTGAAAGGCATCATGAGGAGGATGCCATGGAAGAGAAGGGACCTGCCATATTTACATGTGATATGACCCAGCTAAAGGCAATCACAGGTCATGAGAGCATCGTTTCTTCTCTGTAACGTGCTCTGTGTACCCTGGGCTCAGCATTTGGAGAAGAAAGAGAATCATCTTTTCCTGGTTGGGTAGGGAGGTACTGGAGTCTGTGCTGGATCACAGGGAGTAGCAGCAGGCAAAAGGATAATGCTCTCCAGTATTATCTGCCTTGCAGAAATGCAAACCCTCCCTGACCTACCCAGGGTATAGCTGTGCTTGTATGAAGCTGCTGACACTTGCAGAGATGCCACTTGCTGACAGCAATGTGCCAGGAGGGAATAAACAGCACAGCCCTTGGGAACCAGCTCTGCCCTCAAACTAATGCTGGGCATTATTTTTATTTTATTAAAAAAAGAAAAAAGTGTGGCAGCTAAAGGCTAGTTTGGATGAATAGATGGCTAGTCTCTGAAAAGAGACTAACCATATGGCCTAATAAATTATTGACTGAATCTCCTGATATTTCCTGACCAAGAGGGCTGTAGGGGTTTGCCTCAATACTCTAATTATCCTTCCTTAGAAAAAGAAAGAGAGAGAAACATGAAAAAAACTCTCCAGAAGGACATCTTGTCCTTAGATCTTGGGTTGCAAACTCTCCTTTGCTGGCAACTGCTGGGGACGAAGCAATCTTCAGACAGCTGGAGTTGTGCACGAGTGCTGCAGATTTGCTGTGGATGCACAGAGGTGGGAGAGCACCTCTCATGAACTCTCTCTGCTGTGATAGCAGAGATAGTTATGGCCCAACTAGATCACTGTGGAAGACAAAGAATATCTAATCTGCCTTCCCTTGGGTCTATGTCTATCTTTCAGTTCCTCTCAGGAAACCCTTTAATTGTTCCCACTTTGCACTCTGGGGCTCACATGTCCAACAGCAAGAGCAGGGGTGGCATGATCTGGTTTGTTATGAGAGTTTGTTCTCCTTCTCCATGCACTGACTTTAACCCTGCCTTGTGGTTTTCCCAGATTTGGTATACTTCCTTTAAAGAGAAGGGAAACAGGGTCTTTGCTCAGCCTGAGCTGCAGCTGCAGGGTTTGCTGTGGTGGGTTTGTGAGGGCAGGGAGCAGCGGGGCAGGGCACACCTACCCTCCGTTTCTCTGGGCAGAGCCAAGCAAAAGAAGGCATCAGTGGGTGGGTGGATTTCTAGGTGAAGTTCAGGTGACAAAAGCTTTCTGGCGCAGCCCATGTTTACTGACGTTTTCAGAAAAAAAAAAAAGCAAGATGATGGTTAAAATATCCAGTAGCATCTCTGTAACTTACAGAACCAGGTCCTATTTTGAGTAGTGCAAAAGAGATGCAAAATTTAGGTCCAAGTTTGTGGTTACTTAGGACTTGTATAAAGATAGGTGGAGAAAATAATACAAATAAGTGTAGGATGTCATATTAGAAGGGACAAATGTGAATTAAAATGGCCTTAATCTTATTGAGTATGCTTCTGTTCCAAAGGAAATTCAGCTAAATGAAATTGGGATGAATTAGTGGCAGTATCCATGCAAGGGATTGATTCAGTGTATTTGATCTGCTTTAAAAAATGTTTTTATTTCACTATGTAGAGAGCTGTTAGGTAACTGACTTCATTTGAAATTAGTGGACTGGGTGGAAAAAAGTCCTGTAAGAATCTGTTGGATTATCTTGGTTTGTTGGGTTTTTTTAAGGAAAATTATTGAATAGCATTTATCTTGGGGAAAAAAAGTCCCACAGGGTCCTAAAACATTTTGTGTGCTTCTGACAATTTTATCTTGGCAAATATAGATGTTTTTTCCACCACCCTGAGAAGGAAAAAGCCAGTGGTTGCACTGTGAAGGGAAAGCAAGTTTTCCCAAGAACAAAAGCTCTATTCCTCCCCAAACCAAGAACTATCCATCTGTCTCAGCATATTGGATCACTGGCTGCTTCTTAGGCAAAATGGTGCCTTTTGGGGGCAGTACAGAGTTAATAGCGAAAATAATCTTACTCTGAGGGGAGATTTTTTGGTTCCTTCCTATTTTGCTAGCAGAGCATGTGCATAAGGTGTCCTTTTTGCCTATTTATAAAGATGCTGCAGTGAAATGGGACTGGATGAGATGGCAGCCTATGGGTCCCGAGCTGCCAGGAAAGCAGCATTGAAAACACACACTCAGTAGCTGGCTTGACTCTAAAAGACCTTTTTCTGCAATAAATAGTGCAAACTTTCTTTCCTCCTTAGGCTGAAGTTCTCAGGTGGAAAGTGCACATTCAGCTGCTTCAGGCACCACCAGCCTCCATCTCTCTTCCTGGACCAAACAGTTGCCATTAGTTATGTAATTTATCCATTTGCTCTTTTCACCTCCATGCAGATTCCTACTTTGTTGTTAGATCCAGAGTAAGGTGGCAGCCACTGTTGCTACAGTAAAGAGAAGCGACCAACTGCTCCTGTCACCAGTGGGAGTCAGGACACCTGAATGTCTTCCTTCCCTTCCTCCTCTCTCCTTAACAGACAGTCTGATTTCCCCAAGACAGGCAGTTATGCTGTTGTACCAGTCACCTCTGCTTCTTTCCCTCTTTTCCACCCATCTCCCAAAGTCCTTCAGCTGTGCCCATGTGCCACGACCACTGACACAGCACAAGTACAGCACTCTTGTTCTCAGCAGACTTATGTCCTCATTTAGCTGATGAATGGTCTTCAGTTCATAATTCAGCTGTTAGTAAGTCAGTGGCTCTAGAAAGTGGTCACTATCCTGGTGGGCCTCTTTTCTCAGTGTCCTTTTTAAAACACTTTTGTCTGCAATGGATTAGATGGAGACAATTCTGGTGGATAAATGTGTGTAGCCTTTTCCTTACATTCTAAGCCCATTAAAAGGCTGCAAGAATTGGTTTGGTGCTTCATTGAGCCAGGTCTGGACTTTCCTGCTGAGTCTTCTCAGGAGGTTCTCTCTCGTGCTGCAGACAGACTAATGTGTCCTAAAACAATCCTGTTCAGTGTGCCCTGTGGTAGAAATGCCAGAGCTCATAAATGTCTTGTTTAGTGCAGGATGTAATTAACTTTCCTAACCATGCTCTAGAATATTCTTTATAGTGATCTAAAAACTACAGGTGGCTGAGAAATTATTTTATATACTTCTGCAAACATTTCCATGCTTTTGCTTATTTAAAGTCATTTTAGATGCCCGAATGTTTTGGCTGTTGTTCATTGGGTTCTAAACTGATCTAAAACAGTAAAAAGGAAGGCAAGCAATTTCAAATTATTTTCAAATACTTGGAATGTTTAACTTTATCATCCTGTGTCATCCCAAAATAGTTTAAGGGGAGGGCTTGGGAGGTTTGTTTGGACATTGAAATATTTGTACTCATCTGCATTGACTCTTTTTAAAGCAGGTTGGTGCCTTCGACATATGTTAATGTGATTGCTTATGTATAAAAGTGGAATTCAATATGACCTTTTCTCACTGGATTATTTTAGTAGCACCCAAGTAGCTTGTCAAGAGCCTGTCTTGAGAGCTTCTCCTTGACACTGGCAGGAATCACCTGCCTTTTTCTATTTATCTTCTTCCAAAAAACCAAATATATGCCAACAGAAGTTGTCCATCAAACACAAGATCAGCACTCTTCCAAGGTGAGGGATAAAGGCTGGACAATGAATAAGGAAGAAGGGAAATAGTCTGAGGGGAGAGGATTAAAAGGAGAGGGGATGTGCTATGCTAGAGTATCCAGCCCCGTCCCCCAGCTCAGAGTGAGTGTTAAGCACCTCCCCAGTGTCCAGGTCATGCTGGGCAGGGGCACCCACAGCATGGAACTGCTTTAGAGTATTTCTGTTTCCAGAGTTGAATAAAAAGAAATCAGACAGCATGAAATTCACTCCATGAGGGGCAAGCACACACCTGGAATTCATCCACAGATATGGTAGGTTAAAAATGCAGTAAATCGCTCATCCAAGGCCAGGAAACCAAGGGATGACTGTTTTTTTCTGTAATGCACAAATACATTTAAGGGAGAATTAATCCCTCGGGCTTAAAGGGGTAATTCTTGACCAAAGTTAATTATGAAGCACTGAAAGTACAAAATGGCAGATGAAATGTGCTTGCAGCTTGGTTTTATTAGAGCAATTCTACCTTACAATGTACAGAACTGAACTATCCAAATAGTCCAAGAGAGACCTATTAAAACAAGGAACAATTTAAATACAGTGCTCGGCTAATGTAACAATACTCATTTCGAAAAACAATAATTCTTGTCAGATTAGGGTTTCTCTCAGCTGTGTTTCACAAGGCAGCACAGATAAGTAGGAGCACATTTAATGTTTCTGTCTAAAACCCATTATATTAATAAAGATTAAGGGAAGAAAAATTAGAGGAAATGCGAAAAATGAATGGTATGAAAGAGGAAGTTATTGGTGAGAAATGAAAGTAATTTATGAAGACCATTGTGTGATACTGAAACACTGTTTTGATCACAACCAACACTTGTGGATTTCTGTGAGGTGTCAGCAATGGGGAAATAGCCAATGTACCTCTGTATTTAGCCGGTTTATTATTTTCTGATTGATTTGCCACAAAGGATGCAATTTCTTTTCTTCGTTATACCAGTGCAATCACAGTAGTTTTGGTAGTCCTTGCCAGCTTAAAAGACAACAGACTTTCTTGCTTGGGATGAGCTTTACCTCCCACATTGTAGCACTGTTTTCGTATGATACAGATGAGTTGGATTTATACAACTATCTCCATTAAAGTCAACACATGTCTATTCATATATAAATAAAATGAGAGACCAGGCTCCTGGTTTCTAAACTTCAAGCTAAGTGGCCTTATGAGTGATAAGTTTTTTTGGAATGGCAGAGATCCTCATCACTCCATT